ATGATGCAATTAATTTTTCTTTCCACTCAAAAAAACATATATAAGCCGGATTAATTTGATGAAAATTATCAGTAAGCTTTTCAATTACTACTAAAAGAGATTCGCGAACAAAACCCGCAATTTCATTCAAACATGTTGAACCGAAACGTTTTCGTATTACTCTTTGTCGGAGTCATCGTTTGTCAGGTAATTTTTAGCTTGAAAATAATAAAGCGATTGAAATTATTTCGTTTTTTTTTATTTGCGTATTTTCAGCTCCTCATTTCGGTCGATGCTGAAGGCGATAAGAAGAACCATCCAAAAAATCTGAAAAAAAATGATTCGTTTCTCAAGAGAAGTGCAAGCAAGGTAAAGGAAGCGGTTAATAATCTTATCAGCCCACCAATCAACGAGGAAGAGATCAACGCCCGCCATGAATACAAACCAATGAGCAATGAAGATATCGAGTATTGGACTAATACTTATAACAAATATATTCGAGAATGATGAGAAAATCAATGAAGAAATAGACGATTAACATCAAAATCGAAATCACTTTGTATTACAAATAAAATAAAAAAAATTAAAAAAAAATGGTGTAATAATTGTAAAAAAATCTTCTACTAAAAGAATAATATTCCTCTCATCTAATGCACTCGCATAAAAAGATTGGCTGGTAAATTTAATGCCTTTTTTCAGTTTTACGATGACAAAAAAATAGTTTTGAGGAAGTTGATCGACTTGAAATGGCATATTAGTTCGCTATACTTCCACTGATATTCTCAGCTGCTGGTCAGAAAAAGTTTTTTGAAAGGTGAATTTGTGATCCTTTTCTTGAAAATCACTAGTCAGGGCTTTTTAGGTGCGAGAAAACGGAATCGAACCAAAAACTTATGCTTCGCACAGACCACTGTAGCACATTGAGACAAGAGGTGGTTAGAATGAATGGTAAAAAGTCTAGTAAAAACTTCAAAGGAGATCATACCTAGGGGCTCGAAACTTGAAAAAAAAAAACTTAAAATAAACACAGTTTTGTATGAATTTGGTATATAGCGACAAATATTACAAATATTAGTTATTATCGTAGTTTTTTGTAATTATATAGCTCTTTTACAGCAGCGATTTGAAACACACACAACACAAAATAAAATTAATAATCATGTTATCATTAAATACACAAAAACAATTTTCAGGCCAAAAATTTATATTTCTTTGACAAACGAAAAAAAAAATCGTGAAGAGCTTCAAAAGTGTGTAATTAATATTCTTATAGTAAGCCTGTGTGATTTTACAAATCACTTTCCACTAAATGCCATGTACCATTTGCAGCCATTTTGCGTATTTACGATAATCAGGAATATTCAAGAATATTCACAGAAAGTGAAGTCCACTACTCAAAATGCACCAACATTCGTGAATATGCCAGATTTTTTACGAACAAAAAATACTTTCGAGTCCCTAGGATCATACACTTGAATGGTTATTTGCAAGACAAATAAAGGACCCGAACAGTAAAATTGCCTGAACACAATTTATTAAGGATGACATTTAAGCACCGACCGATAAAAACAAGTGAAAGAATGCATTTTGGAGACCCTTAAGGAAAAGAACTTAAAGAAAATGAAGTACAGAGTCGAGAGTTCTCATTCATCGTGGAATAACTGCTGACAATGTTTTCTCATTATCACGAATTCAATTATTGTTTTTTGTGAACGTGATTTTAAATTACTTTTTTATTTATTTGAAAGACGTCTACATACCTAAATTGTTGATATAATTTATATCAATACCAATTTGTTTTGTTTTTATCATTTGTCTGTTTCATGGTCTGAATATGTCAATATGCCAATTAATTTACAAATTAAGTTATTTGTTTAAATTTTCCATGATAAAATATATTAAATATATTCTTTTTAAAAGTTCGACTCAGTCTTATATTTACAACAATTAGTTCATTTAAAATCAAATCTACAAATTTTAATATAATTTGCCCCAAGTTCAATAGCCTTTTAGTTGATTCCATTGAAAACTGCGCAAAAATATCGATCACTGAATTATTGATGATAAAAAATATAAAAGAATTACGTATGAATTCGTTTGAATTTGCGATTTACACATTTCAATACATTATTCATTTGTAACGCACAATAATAAAGAGTTATCCAAAATAAATTATACACGACTTACGTCAATGGCTCATAACACATAAATAAATTATAACTGCGATGAATTTTTTTTTTAATACTCGTAAATGTAAAAAATTAGACTATCTTCCGATAAATTGTATATAAAGTCAGTCTAGCCGATGAAAATTATCAGTAAATTTTAAGTTATTCAACTACTATTACCCATTTAAAAGAAGAAAATCGACCCAGTTTATTAAACATGTTGAATCGTTATATTTTCGTTCTTCTTTTCGTCGGAGTCATCGTTTGCCAGGTTAAATTTTTTATTTAAAATACAAAAAAAAAATCTGCAGCTCCTCTTTATTTCCTTCGTATTAGTGGAAAAAATTGATCACATGTGATTTCACTATGGAGAGATTTCATTATAATTTTAATTTTATTTAAAAGAAATTCAAACAATTTTTTTGTATTCATAGCTTCTAGTTTCCAACGTAGAAGCAGGCGATGATGGAAAGCCCGCACCAAAACTGCAGAAAAGCGATTCACTGGTGAAGAGAATTGTAAAAGGAGCGAAACATTTGGCCCGTATGCCTTCACAAAAAGAAGTAGAGGAATATCATGCAATTAAACCAATTGATCAAACTGTCGATTACATGAGTGACAAATTAGGCGTAAATTTAAAGATATTTGATGATTATCATTACTAGAAAATATCAACGAATCTGTCTAAAATGACACAAATAAAATAAACTTTGTTACGTAAATTAAATTTAAAGTTCTTTGTTTAATTACTGAACTGGTTATTTTTCGCACTTGAGCGAACATTATTTCAACCAATTAAAAAAGAAGTTATACACAAATTTCAATAATTTTTGTATATTTTATGGTTAGTTTTTATTTTATTTCAATTCAAAATGAATTGTGATTTGATAGAGAACAATAAAAATTGAAGAAAATTACTATAAAATTCATATCGAGCTTAGTAAGTTCAGGCTTTTATGAAAGCTT